CTGCTTCTTATTGCGGAATAATTGGCTTTAAGCCTTCTTATGGTCTAATTTCTCGTTCGGGTGTTATTCCCATGGCTTCTTCTTTGGATACAGTGGGGATTTTGGCCTGCAAAGCCCAAGATGCAAAATCAGTATTCGCCATTATTTCCCAACCCGACCCACACGACCTTTTAACAGTTGCAAGACGAAAAAAAACCCTTTCTCGCCCCAAAAATAAAATTGCAGTGGTGTCCGGAATAGAAAAACACTTATCAAGTGAACTAAACCATCTTTATCATAATACTATCAAAAAACTGGAAAAGGTAGGATATACGACTGAAAAAATAACGATACCGAAAAAAATACGAGAACATTTACAAATTACTTATCTTATTCTCTGTTCTAGTGAATTAATTAGTCATCTTAATTCGCTTCAAGGAGTCACTTACGGCTCTCATGAAAACCTTGCCATTACTCGCAAACGAAGTAAATATTTGGGAGAGATAGTAAAACAACGGCTATTAATCGGGTCCTATTTTTTGGATAAGCGGGAATTATTTGTCAAAGCCCAAAAAATGCGTTATTTAGTAGATGAATGAACGAAAAAAATCTTGCGAAATTATGATTTTCTAGTTTTTCCCAGCACTAATAGCACTGCTCCACCGGCGGCTAATTTTAATCATTCTTTTGCCGGATTAATATCTTCTCATTGGAGCGATAATTTATTGCTTTTAGCCAATTTCGCTGGTTTACCCTCTTTAAGTTTACCTATTGGTTTTGTTAATGATTTGCCGGTTAGCATTAATATAAATAGCGGTTATGGAAATGACAAAAAAGTTTTGGAATTGGCCGAAAAGTTGGAAAAATAAACTACTTCATGCATTTTAATATATATGCCGACTACTGTTCTCTATAAGAAAGACGCCAAAAATAATTTTCAGCATATCATTATCAAAGACCATGCCAATTTTGCTGAAAAAGGTCAGGATATTGTCTGTGCGGCGATTTCGGCCATTACTAATGGGACAGTTAACTTTCTCCAAAAAAATTATTCAAATGATTGTAAAATTTTCTATCTCCCAGCCGAGATAATCATTTACCCGTCTGCCAATAATCCCGATTGTCAATTATGTTTACGATTAATGCTGTATCAATTAGAAAACATTGCTAATTCCTACCCAGATTATTTAAAGATAATTGAAGCGAGGCAGGAAAAGAACCATTAAAAACTTAATTATTTCCAAGAACTAAAAATTCTGTAAAATGAATAACAAATTTTCTTTTTATTTTGAAACGGCGGAAGCAGCAGAGGCCAGAACCCACACCGACGGGAACCAAAAATATCTCGTGGCCGACTATACCAAATCTAATTTTCAGGTCTGGGACAATTCCCTAATTCGTTTACTTATCCCCGATGATGACTCGCTGCTGGCTAATCATGTTAAAAATAACCCGGATGCTAATGATGTTTTTGTCGTCTCTCTTTCGAACTTAAAGTATCAACCAGATTTTCGAAAGATAGGCAGCCTAAATTTTAATGGTTTAGTAGTAAAAGATACTAGTCAAGTAAAAAAAATAGTCGGAACTGAGCGGCCGCAGGCAGAAATTACTTTTCAAGTCATTAGCCAGCAGCAAAAAACCCCAGGGGAAGACCCTGCTCCGGGAAATTATAACCACGAATTAGTAGTTAAGCCTTTTTCTCTTGGCATAGAGGGGATACCGGAAATTTCCCGAATTATTTTTAAGTTTACCCCTCTTATCCCAGGACAGGAAGAAGGCGAAAAAGGAATAATAAAAACCGAGTTATATAATAGCAAATTATTAGCCGAAAGTGCCGGTAAAACTTTTGGTATGAAGGTTAAGCGGTGAAAGTGAGAAGCCATCAATAATGCCCTTTGTTTTCAAAATGTAAATGATTTAGATATAAGTAGTCTCCGAGAAAAAACCAGTTCGGATAACCAACCACCAAAACCTGGCCAGAATGATAATCCTCCATCTCCCAACCCACCAAAAAATAGTGACAATTCTCCTCCTTCTGGTGGAAATAAGAAGTTAATGACTGCCGGAATAACAATTTTGGCCGTTTT